GACCATGATAATGTTGTGAGCATGTCATCAATTCATGGAAGCGGGTAACTGTCCTTCTTGGTTACATCGTTCAGTTTCCTGTATTCTGCACATAATCTCGTTGATCCATCTTTTTTGGTGACTAGCACTACAGGTGAAGAGCAGTGTTGGGCGGTATCTAGATACTTGTATTTAAATAAAGTATCTAGATACATTTTTGGGTATCTAGTATCTCTATCTAGATAAAATCGAATTTAAGCACAAAATATCTGTATCTAGATACAAAATTAATGGCGCAGATGCAGATACATTTTTTTATTTCACTTTTTTTTCAGTAGTTATTAGTTGAGTTATACTAGTAGTAATTTTTGATACTTCATGTTGGTGATTTTGGTCACATAAACAAAAATAGAGGTAAGATGTCCACTAATAGTGTTCTGTCACGGAAATTTTCATATTTTAAATACCATCATTTCCTACATTGTAGCCTTCAATACTTATACATCTTTAAATATAATCCTGAGGGGTAATAAATCTAAACCATGGTAAGATGATATTTTAAAAACCATCAACCACAATTCAATATTCACTGCGTTTTACGCTCATCGGGGCTATGCATTTTATCTGTGTACCTGAGCAACCCGGGTCCGGTAGGCCCGCTGGTTGTATTTGTGTTATTAAATAAGAGTAATTTTAATAGCAAAAATATTTGTTTAAGGTAGGTTATTATTTTTCGAAAATAATAATTGCTTGTTACATAATGATTAATTTTTTCAATTAGCACAAATTAGTTCTGTAATCGACTAATCGAATGTTCAGTACATACATTTCTCTCGCATAAATCGCATATTTGTTACTGTTTTATACCTTTATTTTTCAGACAAATGAAGCATCTTTTCCTGTTGCCCCATGTGTCATTTCTTCACTTTTTCATTGTTGGACCTAACGCCAGGCGGGCTTGGCAGGTCCGTTTTGCCCTAGATGTGCCGATTATGTTTAAGTGTAAATCTTGGGCAATAAAATTAATATTTTTACAACCCTCGGTAGAATAATTTATCGTGATATATTCTCAGAAATCGTAAACCGAGATTAAAATAAAATGAGTTTCAACAAAAATCTGAAAATTTAAAGTTGCACTCTGGTGATTCCGGCCTGCCAGGCAGAATTTGATCCTATAAGGGGTTTAAATACCTTTCTAAGAAATTGTACTTATTTTGCCTTAAACGGAACCAGCAATTCTTCCTAAAATGTATATACCTGCCGCACCGGGATAGACGATTACCGGACATGGTCACAAAAACGTCGGAAGCCGATATTGAAGAATAATAATTTATGACAGGTTGCCGACAACAGACCTTCAGCACAGAATAATCATTTCCCGTATTCTTTTGAAAAATTAATTGTAATGCTGGAGATAATTATTAGATATACTCAAACACCATTTGGACACTGTAGTATGGGAATAAAAACAAAAAAAAAATCTTTTTAAGCGTATGTAATAAATATTGCACAATTTGCGACACATCAAACAGCGAAGCGATGGCCTATTTGCAGGAAAAAAGAAAAGATTTTTCAGTCTTGAATATCTATGCTACAGTAAAATGTTTATTTTTAAAATTTAATACCACAATCCCTTCTTCTGCACCTGTGGGAGGGGTGTTTAGTAGCGGAAACCAAATTCTGACACCAAGAAGAAATAATTTAGGTGACAATACGTTCGAAATGTTGTTAATTATAAAAAATTCATTAAACAATACATAAAAAAATACATAAACATGTTTTCAGTTATTTTATTCGTGAAAGCTTCAAAAAGTATCTGTTTTCTTGTATCTGTATCTAGATATTTTTAAAAGTATCTGTGCCCAACACTGTTTATAGTGTAGTTGTTAATCACTGCACCAATTTGGAAATAATGCAATAATTTATGCTTATATAAATATTTTTAACAATGTGTTGAAAGCCAAAGCCACAAAAAAACAATAATTGTCAAATTTATTTAATTTATTCAAATGCATTACAATGTATTTTAGGAATATTGTGTAGATACTAAAACGATAACCAAAATTTCCCTAATTATTCCGAGCAACAATGTGATAATGTCACCCCAAAATTTTGCATAGTAAATGTTATTTAAATTAAAGTAGTAAAACACATCTAATATGTATGAAGAAGCTACTTTCAAATTTTTTTTATTGTAAAAATCTGTATAAATATTCTGAAGTCTTTGCATGCTTAAAAACTCGTTTTTCGAAAATTGTAAGATATAAGATTTCACTTTTTTTGCTTATAATAGGTAAATACGAAATCATAGTGAAACACTGCAAGTACCATTACATGAGATACAGGGAAAAGAGAGGGTACAAGAGCTATGCAATAGAATACAAAAGGCCGTGGGAGAAGCTGAAAGTAGTGTACTGAGGCAAAGAACAGAATGATCAGTGATTTGATGATGAATGTAAAAAGACTTCGATCAAGGAGAAAACTATATAAGAACACATTAAGTAATGATTCGGAAGAAAATAAGGGAGAATTTAAGAAACAAAACACATGTAACTATATAAGATAATATGAAGGAAAGACAAAAGGATGCACCGACTAAAATTTCGCTTGAATCATATATCTTTATTTTCTGAAAATTTTGAGAAGTGAGTAAATTAAAACGACACCTATTTAAAAGGAAAACCGACTTTAATAAACGCAGATAAACGTTGATGAAACAATGATGATGAGATAACGGAAATTGCCAAAATATGTGTCGTATGCAAAATAATGATAAACACTATGCAAAATATGCATGAAATATATGTTAATTGGTGTTTAGTCTGCACAAACAAGCATTAAAATTCAAGTAAAAAAATAATGTTACCATATTACGATCTTAGCATTTTTTAAAAAGAAAAACCAAGACCTTAAATAAATTTTGCTTTAATAAAGTTTTAGCGAGATATTTGAGTTTTTTATTTTTCATAAAAACTTCAGTGTGGTCATTTGCATTAAATTTTAGTAATTTCAGAAGTAATTACGTTTTACATATTCCGTTTGAAAAGTTATGAATAGTGTTTCAACTTAAATCAAAATCACTGTTAAGTTTCGTCTCAGAAAAAACGCATAAGAAATTTTGCCAAATCGTTAGAATTATTATTACAAATGAACGATCGGATAGAAACCAAGCTTGTAATATCCGCCTCAGTTGTTATACAGGGTGTTTTTGAAATACACGTACAAATGAAAATCAGAAATTGGTTTCAGAAAGTAGATGACAGTAACAAGAACAAATTCTAATAAAAGTCTGTTCGTTCTCGAGATAAAATTGCATGAATAAGAACAAGTTAAGTAATGATTCGGAAGGAAACAATGAAGAATTTAAGAAAAAAAAAACAAATATAACAATATAAGAAAATATGAAGGAGCGAAAAAAGGATGTATGTATACAACAATTTTGGATTTGAATAGGTGCGAGTATTGCAGGTAATTTACGGTGAAAAAATAGTGTTTGTGGATTCTTGTACTTACCTACCATAAGAAGCAGGTAAATTAAAACGGCACCTATTTAGGCAAACCGACTTTCATAAACGCATAGTTCTGAAACAACACTATTTCATTTTAGTGGACAGTGGAAATTGCCAAAATATCGGTCGTATGCAAAACAGTGATAAAATATGCAAAATACGCATGCAATATGGATTAAGATATAAAAATTCAGTGTGGTAATTTGCATTAAATTGTAGTAATTTCAGAAGTACTATTTGGAGCACGCTTTGTGTATTCCGACTCAGTGGCGGCGTAAATCACGCTACGCCGCCACTGTTCCGCCTGACAATTTATTAATAGTGTTTCAGCTGAAATCAGAATAACTGTATGTTTTCTTCTCAGAAAAAACACTTAAGGAATGTTTGCAAAACGCTAGCATTATTATTGTTAATTTTATTATAATGATAAAAAGGCCAAGCCCGTTATGCTCGCGTCCTCTACTGTTCCGGAGGGCTACGTGAAGCAATCATTGACCCAAAAATACAAGTTTCTAAAAAGATTTTTTTCTTGTATTGATGAAGCGGAGGCAAATGAACTTAAAAAAATAATACACTCATTACAAGCGAAGCCACTAGATCTATTACTAACATTAAAACCCAACGTTAGTGCGGTAGGTAGTTTTTAGTCCACACATTACACATTGTTGTAACTATGGTTGCAGGGCTTTATATACCTTTCTTGTACGCCTGTACTAAATTCCAGATACAAAAGCAAAAAGACAAGTACAAGCATGACAGTAAAACAAGAAATAGCAACGAAAATTAAATTAAAGCTGTGCTTGGTCTGTTATATTTGATATTTGGCAGGTATCTATACGGCTAATAGACTAAATTTAGACGCTCTATGGCAAACTGATGGAACTGGCATTAAAATATTTCGCTTCACAATGTCCCTTCAGAGATTTAGATTTCTCCTTTGTTGTTTAAGATTTGATAATATTATCAATACCAGACAAGAGAGGAAAGTCTTTGACAAGTTGGTACCTATACGAGACTTTTTCGAAAAATTTGTTCAAAATTGCCGACAAAGTTACGTACCATCCGAATATTGTAATACAGACGAAATGTTACCGTCTTTTAGAGGAAGGTGTCCATCTAGATAATATTTGCCAAACAAGCCTGCAAAGTATGGCATAAAAATGTTTACTTTAGCAAACTTATTATGTATCAAAGATGGAAGTATATTTAGGAAAGCAGCCGCCTGGTCCATACCAGATCGATAAATCTTGTTGAACCAACATCAGGAACTGGTTCATGAGCTATGATCTCTTACTTGAATTACTGGACCAACATAAGCTCACAGTGGTCGGTGCAATGCGGAAAAATAAAAGAGCTGGCTCCAGAATTTGTAGAAACAAAAGAAAAGAGCATTCGTCAGTTTTTGACTTTCAAAATTAAATAACGGCAGTGTCTTATGTGCCAAAAAAAAGCAAAAGCGTTGTTATATTCATTACAATGGACAATTACAAAGCCATTGATTCGGAAAATGGTAAACCTGAAATTATTATATCATATAATCAAACTAAATGTGGCGTTTACACCATAGATCAATTGTGTGCCACATATAATACATCCAGAAAAAGCAGAAGGTGGCCACCAAATATAATTAAATGTGTTTTTGAAACATAATGCGTTCGAATCATAGACAGTAGCAGATTATCTGTGAAGTGCTACGAGATGTTTTCCAAAGTACTGATATTATACAATTTACGACATAATCGAGAGGCAATATTTCAACTGGCACATCGTGTATGTAGACACTCCTAAGTATGCCTAAAGTTCCTGCTGTTACCAAGCCGAAAGGACCATAGAACTGGTCGGCCCATCCGGTGATGGGTTCTGTATTACAGCTTGTAACTAAAATGACATAGTTACTACAGGATATTGTAGTCATTTCTGAGTTTCATTCCGCTAAATCAAGTACAACGTTTTGTGTTGACACAGCTTAAGATTAGCTGAACGTAACTCAGAAGTGGGTTTCAGCATTCAATTCACCAATAGGAGGACGTACTACTGCGACTGGCAAACTCTCACCAGCAGATTTAACCAAATCTTCCGAAATGTTCTTCGAGTAAACATAAGTGTTTGGAAAATTCTCCAATAAACTAAAAACCAAGTGAGCAAATAAATCACAGCATTAAGAACACTTACCGCGGAGTGATTTCGTCTAAAATATCCTCATGCAAAGAATTAACCACCGCGAAAAATTTTTCCGGCGTCAAAGGAGGCTCATAAAACTCTTCTTTAATGTCCAAATGTACGCAGTTGGAAAAAGCGGTAGAAACGTAAACAAAAGCCTAAAATTGTAACTCACTTTTAGCCACTGCTGTGTTTTCCTTACCTTAAGGTTTGCCATTCCTTTGGCCAATTCTAATATATCTCGGATGGCTCTGACAAACAAAGCAGCTTTTTTCAAACACTGATCAAATTTAACGCATGCTGAGGCATGAATGACGCAGGTGGTTTCTTTTTTTAAAACCGCTATGTCGTCAACACTCAATCCAAGAACCGGTTCTTCGCAGTCACCATTAACGATACAAGCTTTTTCCAAGACGTGTACGTTTTTGGATTTCAGTACAGCAAAACACTTCAAGACACATTTCAGGCACGACATTATGCGAATAAAAACTTACGGGTAAGTCGAAAAGTTCTTTCAGACGTTATTCGCTGCTTTTCTTTTTCTTTGACCTAATTAATAATAATAATAATAATAATATAGATTTATTCATACGACAACTACAAGTTGTATAGAATACGTCAAATCAAAACATATACATATCTCATTTCACATATATTTACATATATTTGTGTACTCAAATACTATAAAAAACACATTTATGTTAAAACACTATCTTGGAGAAATTCATCAAGCGAATAGTAAGCTTTATTTGTTAGCCAACCTTTCAATGTTTTTTAAAAAAAATTTACGTTTAATTTTTTTACATCATTTGGAATCTTATTGAAACATTTAATACCCAAATAAGCAGCACTCTTTTCGAAAAATGATGTTTTATGTTTGAGTATTTTCAAGACGTTTTCATTTCTGGTGGAATACTTGTGGTGTCCGTTTAAAGTATTAAAATTATTCAAATTGTTTTTCACATATATTGCAAGATGGAGAATGAACAAACATGGTACAGTTATAATTTTAAGTTCGACAAAGTATTGTTTGCAGCTGGTTCTACTATTTATGCCTATAATAGTTCTTAAAGCCCGTTTTTGTAATCTAAAAACTCGAGGTAAGTCTGATGATGAGCCCCAAACACTTATCCGGTAGTTTAGTATTGCATGAATATGGACAAAGTAATACATTTTTAGTAATTCCGTACTTACATATTGTTTTAACTGTTTTAAGGCAAAACATGAGGTATTCAATTTTTGACAGATATTATTAATATGAGATGTCCACGCAAGATTTCGATCTATAGTAACACCTAGAAATAAATGAGAACTTGTTCTATAGATCCCAAAGGAGTTTTCACTAGGTAACTAAATTCTGTCTTTAGTCGTTTTTTCAAATTTCATAAATTTCGTTTTTTTGTTATTAATATATAGGTTATGATTATCAAAATACTGACTTAGGTCTGTTATTGTTTTACTAGTGTGGAGAGAGATTGAATGATCCTTTTCCGCAGATATAATAGCTGAATTATCGTCAGTAAACATTATGATGTCTTTGAAATTAAAATCGTTAGTGTAAATTATATATAACAGAGGTTCCAAAACAGAACCCTGTGGAACTCCCTTGTCGGCTATCAATCGTTTAGATATTTTACCGCCTACCTCAACATAATGCTGTCGATTTTTTAAATAACTCTTAAACCTAATGTCCACAGTTTATGTGGTAGTATTTCGTGATTTACAAGATCAAATGCCTTGCTCAGATCTAAAAATAAGCCAATTGTATTTTTGTTATTATCCAGACAGTTAAACAATTTGATGACGAACTCTGTAATTGCTGATGTTGTTGATCTACCTTTAGTGAACCCATGTTGTTTTTCGTTTTTAAGATGATACTTTTCGAAAAAAAACAATTATTTTTTTGGCCACTATTTCTTCTATAATTTTAGAAAAACAATTTAAGATAGAAATTGGTCTATAATTGGTAGCTTCTCTACGATCTCCTTGTTTAAAGAGTGGATATATTTTAGACACTTTGAGCTGTTCTGGAAAAACACCTTTATTTAATGAGTTGTTTATTATTGTTGTTAAAGGTTTAACTACATTAGTGGCACACTCTTTTAGTAATATGGTATTAATTTCATCGGGCCCATTCGAATGACTGTTTTTTAGCTCATGAATTATATTAAATACTTCAGTTTCTGATACATTTTCAAAATAAAATGAATTTATATTAATAGTAGTTTTATTAGGCTTACTATTACTAATTTTGGTGTTATAACAAGTTCTTGCGATTTCGTTAAAGTATTTATTCAGATAATTTGCACATGTTATTTCGTCTTTAATTAGTTCTGAATTTATGTTAAGTTCAATGTGTTTCTTTTTTGGTTTTGTTTTGCCAATGATTTGCCAAGCAGTCTCATTCTTATTAGAAGCATTGCGTAATAAGACGTTGTTATATATTTTTTTGTCTGTTTGATAACCTTGGTATAAATTTTTTTGTACTTATCATAAAATTCTTTATTTTCACGATTTCTAACCGACAGTCTAAATAATTCTTTGAGTGTTACCGATGAGATTCGAATTCCTTTCGTAATCCACTTGTTTTTGATAATAGAATGCGCCTTGTTGTTACGTACCATTGGAAATGCTTTATCCATATAGAATTGAATGATATTTTGAAAACAATTATATTGCTGGTCAACTTCATTGCAATTAAAAACATCCTCCCAGGATTCATTTTGTAGTAAGTACTTAAAATAATTAATGTTTTGCATATTACTTGTTTGCTTATACCAATTCATATTTGGTTTAGCTATTTTGACTGTTTGTTTAGGCTTAGCACCGTGGCCGCATGATCAGACCACCCTACTGGGATTACTTTCGCATCGTACTGATCTGTGTCACAAGAAATGCATATGTTATCAAGACAATTCGGTCCTCTAGTGGGTTGATCTATTATAGGTTTAAAATAATAGGAACCTAATATATCACAAATATATGTCCTGTCGCGCGTTTCCTCTAAAAAATTAACATTGAAATCTTCGCATATAACAACGTTATGACTGTTTGAATACTTTGATAATTTATTTAAAAGTAGTTCAAATTTCTCCACGAATATATTAAAATCTCCCGTACTACTACTACGGTAAATACAAGCAATTATTACCTTATATATAGAGCTCTTAAATTTAATGGCGGCGCATTCAAAATTCATTTTCACTGACATCTTCGATATTTCTTCAATGGGTTCAGCATCCACATCCGAGTCTTCTTTGCAAAAAATGGCAACACCTCCGTGGCTATGATCTCTCCTGCTGAAGTGTTCTACAAGTCTGTAACCATCTAATTTCGCTGTTGTAATTTCATCATTGATGTACCAGTCTTCTGACACACACATGACTTGATATGGATAGTTAGCTAAAAAAATTTCAAGCATATCACTTTTATTTGTCAAACACTGGCAGTTGAGATGAGCCAAGGTAAATTTTTCAAAACTGTCCGCTTTTTCGTCGAAAAAATATAAATTTTTTTAATATAACTCCTACTGGCCAATTTTCAGCCCTATAAAGTTGGTCCATTAGTTGCTTGTCCGCACCTATCTTAAATGATGCACTCGATGCATCCCGTCTTTTTGGTAGTGGGTCAACTGTGAATGAGTGACCTAGGTATTTCTGAGTCAGATAATTCTGAATTTGTTAGCATGTAGACTTTTGATAGCCTCTCGTATTCTCGGAGGAGTTTTTCTAGGATGATTTTTCCCAAAAATTCGGTGCCGCCGGCCGGTTAAAAAGATTGTTTGGTTTTTGTAGAAATGTTTGATTTCGTTGAGTTCCGAAGACATTTTTTGGAAAGCCGTCTGAGCAAGGATTAAAGTAAGTTTGTTTGATGCGAATTTATAGTGTAGTTGTTAATCACTGCACCAATTTGGCAACAATGCAATCATTTATGCTTTTAACCGTGTTAGTCAAGAAACAATGTGGTGAAATGCAAAGTCACAAAGCAAACTGGCAAATTTTATATGTAGTTTAGGAAAATATATACGTAGATACTAAAACGATAACCAAAATGTCCCTAATTATTCCCACCAACCATGTGCTAACGTCACCTCAAAATTTTGCATGGTAAGTGTTTTTTAAAATAAAGTCGTCAAACATAATTATTATACCTATCGATTAGGAGGCTAGTTTCAAATTTTTTTATGATTTATTTAAATTTGGATTGTAAAAATAAAACTATGTAAAAATATCTTTCCTTGCAATTCGCAAAATTCTTTCATTGAAAAAAATCAAATTTTCCAACGAGGACTCGATGTATGAATCATGTGGGACACACTATACAATAAAACAAAGCTTTTTTGCAAACACGATTTTTTATCAAATCTTTATAAACATTCTGAAGTTTTTGCATTTTTAAAACCCGTTTGTCGAAAATTGCAAAATAATAGATTTCACTTTTTTTACTTACAGTAAATACCAAAGCAAGTTACAATAGTTATGTACAGAAGGCCATGGGAGAAGCTGAAAGTAGTGTGCTTATCAGAGGCAAAGAACAGAAGGATCAGTGGTTTGATGACGAATGTTAAAAAGACTTCAATAAAGGAACAAACTATATAAGAACATGTTAAGTAATGATTCGGAAGAAAATGAGGAAGAATTTAAAAAACAAAACAAATATAACAACATAATAAAATATGAAGGAAAGAGAAAAGGATGTACCTACTAAATCATATCTTTATTTTATGGAAATTTTGAGAAGTAGGTAAATTAAAACGGCACCTATAAGTGTAAATTGACCTCCATAAATGCAGATAAAAATTTATAAAATAGCAGTATTTTATTTTAGTGGCTAGTGGAAATTGCCAAAATATGTGTCGCATGCAAAATAATGGTAAACTATGCAAAATATGCATGAAATGTGGATTAATTGGTGTTTAGTCTGTACAAACAATTACTAAAATTGTTAGCCTTACAACGCGAGGATATTCCGGATCATAAGTTGTAAGGGCTAAAAAATAATGTTACCTTATTACGACCTTAGCATTTATTATAAAGAAGAACCAAGATCTAACACTACAGCAAATAATAAGGTTTTGCCGCTATGCAGGAATGATTAGGAATAATTTTATAGCCCCGTACATACTGCCTCCTCGTTTGACAGCTGACGCCTATTTAGTGTTTCTGTATATCAATCTGGGCCATCTTTTAGACGATGGAGCCCTGCTCTTAAGGCTTTGGTAGTGCGGAGATGGTTGAATCTAAATTGTATGGACAAGAGGATAGGAAGAAATGGATCAGTTTTATGGCCACCTCGTTCCCCTGACCCCAGTCCCTGTGATTTTTTTTGTGGGGTCACATAAAATTGTTAGGCTACCAAATCCCCTATTAACAGTGTTGAAGAATTGATAAACCCAACTGAAGATGTTTCTGCGCAGATTAGAGCAGACCCAGATATAATAAATAAAACACAGCCTTTAGTTCGACGTGCGGAGGCATTGGTGAGAACCGACGACCGTCACTTTAAACATTTGTTATGGTTTTGTTGTTTTATTATTGAGTTCAGTCAAGGTTTGACTTAAGTGTTTTGTTTACTCGTTGAAATTCTATTGTTGTTTTCTGTAGCTGTTTAAATAAAAAAAATGTTTTTTAATGACAATTTTATTGTTTACTGTTCTGGTTTGTTCAAAAATTCATTTTAAGAAATTTACAATGATATGCAAAACACATTATTAATTTAATTTTTTTTAATAAAATTTTGAGGAAAGTGGGCAATTAATGTGCGTCATGAAGGTTTTGGGACTAATTTCAGTAGTGAACAAGGCAGTTGTGAAGGTCATCGCTAAATACACTTTCACTTTCACCATGTTAATTAGCCGCGGGGGCATTCATTGATTACTCATTATCAAAATTCCATTAATTATCGAATTTGTTACTAATTAGAGCATAATTGATTTTTTTTCTGTAAAAGAAATATACCATGTGAACAGGAAATTAGACTTTATGTACATATTGCATAGTGATTTCTTCAAGATTTTTGTGACGTAACAATGGAATTTCAATATTGACCATGAGGAATGACGAATGTCTGAGACTAATTATAATTAACAATGTGAAAGTGAAATTGTAATTAGACAACGACCTTCACCACTGCCAATATACCTATGAAACATAATTTTTCTTTAAATATAATTGTTAGAACCAAAATATAAAGTTTATCAGGGTTTATGTATGAATTATTCTAAAATATGAATGATTATCCAAAATATTGTGTGTTGCAATATTATCAATATGGACATTTCAAACAAGAAAAAAGTCTGCCTAGTCAATACGAAATTTTTAAACATATGTATTTAAACAAAAATTTGTCTAAAATATGTTTTTGGTTTACTTACCGAAGGCAAAATGTAATATTACAGCAGCCCTCTTTTCAAGATTGTTAAATCTATGAAAGTCACATTTACTTATTTAAAAGTTAGTACACCCAACTCACACACCGAACGTCAACACCTCACGAAAACGAACAAGAACTAAAGTTAAAAATTTCGGTAAAGTTCCCCTCCCCACATTAACCAATTGCCGAAACGGGAGCTGGTAATTAAGCATGTAACAAACTTCAACAAGTCTAAACAAGTCTCAACTCATGACGTCAGAGTATTCAGAAAGTGAAGGCGCTGGTAAGTTTTGTGGAATTTAAAAGAAAATGATGTCTGCATATCTGCAAGTAAAATGTCTGTTCAAAATCCAAGAAAAATGCATTTACAAAATTTCAACAACTATCATGAGCAATTCTTAAAAAAAGATCATCAGAAATTATTTAATATGTACTCCTGTATTTACATTTTGTAACATCAGCCTGCTATCCCATTCCTCGACTATTGTTATTGCAGCTTGCATTATTTCACATAATGCGTCTGCGTTTTTTCCTGTCAGCAAAATGACTAGATCATCTGCGTACCCAATTGTGTGGTAGCCAAGATCAGTGAGGCGTCATAACAGGCTGTCAACGTCAGTAAATTTCAGAGTACAGGAGAGAGTACTTCTCCCGAGTCACGTCGTGCTTTTGTAGAGCTAGTCCTATGTTTTTGAAGGTCGATTTATCGAACGCTCCTTCAATGTCCCAGAACATTCCTAAGGTGGAGAGTTTGTTCTCCATTGCCCACTCTATACGATTTACAACTGTGTGTAAGGCCGTATCCGTGGATCTTCCTTGGATGTTGGGATGTTGGTTCGGATGAAGATGTTGCTTGCTCAAAGCGGTCTCCCGAATCTCTTTTTTCGCCTAGTCTTTCTAGCGTTTTCAGCAAGAATGATGTTAAGCTAATTGGTCCACAGGATTTAGTCCAGGTGTAATCTTGTCGTCCTGGCTTAAATATAAAGATAACCTTTACTTTTCGCCATGCATTCGGTATGTAGCTGAAGGCCAGACACGGCCGAAGCATTGACAACAAACTAAGGCGTAGTCTGCTCATTCCCCTCTGCAGTAGGGCGGGATAAATACCTTCCACTCCTGGAGATTTATATGGGTAAAAGCTGTCAACTGCCCACTCCAGTCTTGCCTCCGTGACTACCTTTGCCGTCAGCGCCCAGTCCTTCGGGGAAGGTTGAGTACCAGCTACATCCCTTTTGGAATAGGAGGTAGTCCTTGTTCTGCCTGGAAACACAGTCTGCAGCAAAAGTTCTGCGGACTCTTCTAAGGTGGATGTAAAGGTGCCATTCTCTTTCTTTAGGAAACCTGGTTGATGTTGTAGTCCTTGCGGCCGAAGCAGTCGACGTTATGTCGCTGCAGAAGAATCTCCACGTTTCCCGTTTCCTCTTTCTTATCCTTTTTTAAACTCTTTCCGGTGCTCTTTATAGGCTTCCCAGTCTTCAGTTTTCTTAGTGTCTTTTGCTCTATTGAAAAGTTTTGTTAGCCCCGATTGTTGTAGGCTGAGCCTTCAAGTCCACCATGGTGTTCCTTTGCCCAGGCCTTCCTTCTTTAGGGTCGCTTCGCTCCGTCTCCAAACTTTTGTCTTCGACCAGTAAATACCTCTTATCGTTCTTAATACTTAATATTCTACTTCAAAGACGCGGGACTTATACTTCAGGTGCGAGGAAAGTTTTGTAGAAGTAAATTTCGATCAATTCTTTTAACAAAATGTAAGGAAAACTTGATATTTTACCGTCGAAACGTTGTAAAGGAAGTGAAATGACTGATCAGCAACAGACATCAAGGCAAAACTTTTCCGAAATTTTTGATATTATATTTGCTGGCGTAAAAAAATTATACATTTTTGACTTGCTTAATAATTGTAAAATTTCATTTTTGCAAAAAAATTACATGTGAACTCCTAAAAACGCGAGCACGACACCAGAGGCGGATCTAGACTGTTGGGGGCCTGATGCTATTATTTAATTGGGGCCCCATTTATGAATAGAAGTTTTATTATTATTATTATTATTATTAAAGAAGCGACCGGGCAGAGGCGTGCCCTGTTGTGCCCGCGCTAACATCAAGTAATGGAGTGACAGTATTACTCTTTAGCTAGTACAATAAGTATCATATTTGGATTTAAATATTAAGGTAGACTCCGCTAATACAACTTCTTGGGGTAGTGCATTCCAATCATGAAAAACTCTGTTTGACAAAAATGTTTGTCTCACCGTGGTATGAAAGTTTTCCTTAAGTAATTTAAGGGGATGTCCTCTAGTACGTTTCGAAAGATTAAGAGTAAATAATTGTTTAATTGGAGAATGAGCATTACTTAGAGCCTACCACAATACGAAGGTCGGTTTCTACCAAAAGGAATTCTGGTTGCCCTTCGCTGTACCAGCTCCAAGCGTGCGATATCTCGTTTTAAAACAGGAACCCAGGCAGTGTTGGCAAATTCCAGTAACGGTCTCACGAATGTTTTAAAAAGTTTTCCAAATATGGATGGACTAGCTTTGGCAAAGACTTTACTTAACAGATAAAGCATCGAGTTAGCTCTCTTGGTGACACGCAAAATATGCTCACTCCAAGAAAAATCGGAGGTAACGAGAACGCCCAGGTCGACGTGAGATTTCGTTACGGATATCTGCATGTTGCCAATGTAGTAGGGGTGTCTTGGGTTTTTGTTACCAATATGTAAGACTTTGCACTTATCAAAATTTAATGGAAGTAACCAGTTACGAGACCAATCATATACAGCTTGTAAATCTTTAATTAACGAAGGGAATTTATCGCAGCTATTATATAATTTAATGTCGTCAGCATACATGGCGAAGGAGGATGATATAATTCCTTTGATGTCAGCTGTATCAGCAATGAAAAGTAATGGACCCAGCACAGAGCCTTGCGGTACGTCTTCTCTAATGACAAAAGATGGTTCGAAAAGTCTCTGTGCGTTTTATAGGCGGCTTCAGACTTCGTTCTTTTAATGGCGCGCCATAATGCTCGCTTTTTACGGACTAAACCTAGAATTCTGCTGTTGATCCAAGGTTTTGAAAATGATCTTTTAGAAGTGGTAGTACTGCTGCATTGTGAGATAGCATCAGATAACACTGTTTTAAAGATATCCCAGTTATTGTGGATCAAGCCATCCGAGAGGATTGATTGCCAATTAAATTGGGAAAGCCGATCGTTCAGTGGCTCAAAGTCAATTTTTTTCCTATGGAACCTGATAGTTCTTGATCTAGGCAAATAACAAATTTGTAATTTAGCCATCAAAACAATGTGATCTGAGTTACCGATTGGATTGAGATACTCTAAATTAGTGATCGAAGAATCATCGGATGTTATAATTAAATCAAGCAGGGAAGGTTGTTGGTTAGCCCTGTTAGATCTACAAAAAGCTGGGAAGATGCCGTGTATGTACGATTAATATTGACAGGCCAGTTCATATCTGGTAAATTAAAATCGCCTAAAATATAGATCTTGTGATACTTCGTTGTTATACCAGTAATGCTGTCTACTAAGATTTCATCGTCATTAAAATGTGTTGAGGGTGGTCTGTAAATACACCCTAAAATAAAAGTAGTGTAACTATTTGACACTTTCAAAAATAAGGAGTCTAAACCACCAGTGTCTACCGGAAGAGGCACAACAAGAAAATTAACTAGAATACAATCTAAAATGTACATACAGACACCACCTCCTCTTTTCCCAATTCGGTCAGTTCTAAATATTGTGTAGTCCTTGAGCGAAACTCGAGAGTCTACTATTGAAGAGGTCAACCACGTTTCGGTTAACAAAATTATGGATGGTTTGTATGTATCAACACAAGCACAAAAATCATCATACTTTGCCATTAAGGATGCTATATTTGTATATAATATTGAGTGAACAAAATAATGGTAAGAGAAATCATTGTTAGTTGTCGAGTCGAAGGCTGTCATTTAATATAAATTTGAGATAGGAGTATCATTTTAACTTTTACTAGATGCTGGTTCGTTATTCGGTAAACTAGGGTCAATGGTCATTTCATAGTTGCCATAAGTCTCATTTCCATCGATTGTATTGTTTTCGCTTAAATTTTTGTCACTCTCCCAGGCTTTTTTAATTTTCCTTTGAATTTTACGACACCTATTTTTTATACTTTTATGCTCCACGATCGGGTAAACGTCATACATAAGAAGGACACATTCAATATCGTCAGTATATTTACGTATTAAACCTAAAATATGTTTTTCGCCAGAGGCTTTATCCATAAATTCAGTGATCTATTCATAATTCAGTGGATATTGTTCGGTATTACTTAACATATGTTTGACCGGCAGAAGAAGCTCAGATGTTGATGTTAAACTTTCACAAGAATCACTACGTTTAACCTTTTTCGACTTGCGGTCGCTATTTCCAGTCAGGTCAAGAGGGACTATCTCCGGAGAGGAGTCACCATCAACATTTTGTCTTTTTCCGGCAACTTCTTTTAAATTTACAGTCGGTTTAACTATAGGATTTTTAGACGCATCGGTTGTGGATGTACTAGGACACTCATTGGCAAAATGTCCAGTCATTTTGCATTTGAAGCAAATATCGTCGAAGGTCAAAAAGACGCGATAATTTGTATTTTCATACTTTAATACCAAAGAATCTGGTAGGTTTAACTTATCGTCGGGTTGAACATAAATATGCCTACGAAAACTTAGCACATGTGCGTATTCACCGCTTTGTATTCCCGCTTTAAGAAACTACATTGGTGACACAATTGTAAAACCTAAAGCCTTAATTTGATTTTCGAAAACCAAATGCGGGATTGAGGGACAAACATTCGACAGAATAATGCGACGCGCGGGGCTTAGTAACCGACGCACATTGACATCAGTACCATTAACGTTAACAACAGAATACTTACTTACAACGTCATCTACTAGAGCTTTAGAGTCAAGATAAATACAAATACGATTTTTAGAAATCCTTGAGGCAAATAAAACATTTTTAGGAGTAACAATTTTACCTATTGCTACTACATAATCCATTAATTTTACGTCATCAACAGCGGACAAGACTAACGCTTGGTACGACACTTGCAACTTCGACTCCTACCAAATTTAA